TTTTCCGCAATTAAACACAAACAAGCGGGACAAGTTCCTAATGCTAAAAGCTGGAAGTCTTCCATTCCACCCATTATTCACCACTCCGCGTTCCGTCTAAATAAAATCCACACCGTCTAATTAAACAAAAGCTCGAGAAGTCGAGGTGTAACCAGCATAAATGAACATTAACTTGAAAATAATAAAAGTGAAGTAGCTTTAGGAAGCCGTGTCTCGAATTTCATGGCATAATAAATGGCTCGCAGACCGATGCGAAAACTTTTCCTCCTCGTCGAGTGATGAAGTAATGAAAGCGCTGGAAGAAAAATTACAATTCACGAGCGCAGCGCAGTTATGAACTTTTTCACGGTGCTAAATAATGCACACGAAAGTGCTCAGCCAGGCAGTCAGGGGTTAAGAAATCGAGGTGGGGCAGCAGTTCTTCATTAACTCCTCCAGTGCCGCCAGATGATGATGATGAATTTTGTATAAAATGCTTAAATACCTGCAATTTAACTTTTGGCGGGTGTCGTCCATCTCCCGCGGCTTAACCCCCCCGGTCCCTTAACCCCATCGCGGTGAAGGGGGTCGAAAGCAGCCAGTCTCGTCCAGGACTTTTCAATATGCAGATCCGCGTGTTTCTTTTAATTTAAATTGACTTCTCTTGGGGGGAACACGGCGATTCCATGGGGTTTTTCGGAGCTGGCCAGTCGGGTCAGAAACTAATCAAAAAGCCATAAAAACTTTATCCTGTAGAGGGTAGCAATTTGTTCAGGAAGATTACAGTTGCGAAAGTGTTGTGCCCACGTAGCATTTTTACAAAAATTAGTTAGTTAGCTCTCAGCAATTCGATAACGACTTTAAATTGAATAAATACAGGTACAATAATAGTACCACAACTCTTGAATAAACCTTTGAACTGAAGGTAAAGTTTCCAGTAATTACAATGAAAATATCTCCATATTCGCTAGCTACTGGCTTTAAGTTCAATTTTCAATTCAATTTCAGACTTGCACTGCACAGCAACTGTCACTGCAATTGTGCATACAAGTACACATAATTAATTAAGGAACTGACATATACCGCCTCCTGCCATCCTGCAAAACCCTGTAAAAGCCCCTCATTGTCCTTTTCTTCGCGGAGTCATCATCATTCTTTCCCATCCTCGTGCTAACTGAAATGTCAAAAATGCAAGTGACAAGTGTGAAAAAAGGACGAGCTGAAGAAAAACAAAAGCCAAATGAGGACACACATGGCCGAGGGGGTTGCGGTGGCTTTTCCGGCTGCGAGCGGGGGGATTTCCATTTTCCAGAGCGGCTCTCCCTTATGCCATTGTCTGCTTGAAGACGCAGCGCGTTCGTGCAAGGCAAAATAAATTGAAATTTTAAAATGTATGAAATTAATTTTTGGCGTCGGTGACTGGGCTAAAAAGTTCTCGCCAACGCCTCAGATGATATCACATGATTATTTATCTGTTACGCACACTTACACTTTGCCCCACACATATGCAAAGGACGTGTGTCCTGGTCCTTCCCAAGTCCCAAGTCCCGTGTCCTGCGCCTGACACTTGCCAACACACTTTGTCAAGTTTTTAGTACGTTGTCAGCGATTTCCCACTCTGACTTTTTGTCTTAGCCCTTTTAAGCCATTTGTCAAGCACTTGGCATGACGTCATGTGTGGGTGCCGTCGCAGGCGAGTTCTCCTGCGACATCTTAGGGTATTTACCGCTTCGTATTGGGCGGTTGGCTGTCGTCGGAGCTGTGCGAAAATTTACATATAGATTAGCAGCACAGACACACCAATGCCCGGCCACTTGATTTGGGCCTTCGATGCACTTTGTCCGCCCTCGACCGATTTTGATGGCGATGATGATGTCTGCAGTGCATAAGTGGAAACCATTAAGGGCCGCCGCATCTTGTAAACCGGTGCGTAATCCTGCAGACCCAGCCAAACCAGCCACACACTGCACAAATATGCCTTTAAAATATGAGTATATTTTAAAAACAGCATTGACAAAAATTTAATTATTTTGTCAATGTATTAAGTTATCCCCAAGTTATACTTGTTGAAATGCTTGAGCACCACTGTATTGAACTTTTTAAATTATAAGTATTTAATAATTAAAGTATTTGGTGAATATACTAAGTTATCCCTAAGTTATACTTCTTGAAATGATTGAGCATCACTGTATTGAACTTTTTAAGTTATAAGTATTTAATAATTAAAGTATATTAAATATTGAAGTGAATATACTAAGTTATCCCTAAGTTATACTTGTTGAAATGCTTGAGCATCACTGTTTTGAACTTTTCAAGTTATGAGTATTTAAAAAAAAGGTTTTTTAGGCATCTCTGATTTGAACTTCTCAAGTGTGGGAACTGGGCATGTATTAAACTATTACAGACCCACTTTTGATTTCTTTGAGTGCACGGGCAATTGTTTGCAGAGCAGAACTGGCAGCTCGGCATTGTTACCATTTCCGTTCCGTTTCTCTCTGTGAAGCCCATTGTCCATGGGCTGGAAATCCCCTGACAACACTTTGGCCCTTTCACTATGTGGAAAAAGAAAATTTCTGCGAGCAATCCTTGAACAATGCACGAAATAATTGCACAGACCGGACTGCAAAACCGGGATGAGTGCTGGAGGCGGGTATTGAGGTCCTTGCGAAGAGACATAATGATGGCCCGCTGGATATTGGCCGATGATGGGCATTAAAACGCGTATGATGAGGCTTAAGTAGTTACACACAAGCCGTCCGTGTGCGATTGGGACTCGTTACGTGTGTATCCTGGCAAAGGACTCGCTGGGGCTTAAGTGATGCCAACATATTGTCCATGCCTACATGTCCTGGGTTAGGGAAGAACTTGCTCTGAAATGATATTTCTTCGCTGTGATTACGGTGTCTGCATATTGCTAAATGAAAATATGTAGCGGAAAGTGTAAGTAATGCTATGGCAAGGGGAAAATGATTCACGGCTGTTGGGCAAGGTGAATGCGGATTGCTGTATTAACATCTGTCGCAAAATATGTGAGGGAAAATATAGGGAGATGCGACTTTTTGCTTAGCTAATGAGTGTATGTACAATGAACTTAGTGATCATTATGTATAAAATTTAAATGCTAAATAATTCGTTACTTACAGCTAAAAAAAATCATGTGAAACTATATGTATGATGATTACCTTACTTAACAGGGGAAATTTGATTTTGACACATATTTTACCTTAATATTTGCACACTTCCCCCAAAACCATAACCATTGTTAAGTAATACACCCTTCCAAGTTCGTCAAATCGATATCCCGCGACCTTGAGCTTGACATTTTTTCGTATGCCAGAATATAACGACCACGTGCAGTCAACTGTGTCAGGGAAAGCTCACCCACAATTTCTTTGGAGGAGCTGTGCTCCCTAAACGAATTTCATTGTCAAGGTCGCACGCACAAAAACGAAGAGGAAAAGCTGAATGTGGGTGGAAATGCCGGCCGGCACGACCTTGAAGCCAGTTGGGTGGGAAATAAAAAGCTTTTGCCGGTAGGAGACTTGTGGAACATCGCCCACAAGTGGCGGACGCATGGCCTTGGCGATGGCCTTGAAACTTTGTTGGAGCTCCCTCAGCAAAAATGTTACATAGGGGGAGGAAATAAGCTCAATTGGCATTATGCTTCCTGCTGCCTGGAAGTCCTTTTCTAAAATGCTAAAGTGCTGCCGCTTAAATGACATTTATTGAACATGTGGACATAGGAGCAGATGATAAGAGTGCAACCTACCCAACTGATAAAATGATTGCTTTGATTTATGTGATATTTATGATTATGATTAAAATAATTATGAATCATATACAAATTTTAAATGAACAAAAAATGTTATGAATTGTATTTGTTCTGATACTCCACAGTAAATAATAATCTGTTTTTGATTAATCACCCCTTCATAAGTAAACGTTTTTGATGCCCCTCCAACTCCGCCACTGCTTCCTTGACTTTGCAACTATCCGGGAACAGCTTATCATAATGGATGAGCTGCAGCTACAGGAAAATGGGGGAGCTGGGATCAAACATTCTCCAAGGTTGAAATTGTCGTCAGCGTAATGTTTGAGGGAGCTGGATTCGCTTTGGCTTGAAGGTCAATCCATTTGGGTGTCCTTTGGAGTGGTCAAGTTTAAGGCTGCAGTGGGGGAAATCTTCAAGGACCATTTCGCAGAGGTTTCGCATCAAAGATTTGCCTTGTATGCTTTTTGAGTTGAAGGATGCTTAACTTGAAAGCGGGTTAGTGGTTCTGAGAGGTTCTACGGCGAGTAACTGTTCTGTTGAAATATACTAAGTATTCGAAGGTATAAATTACCAAAAACAGTACAATAAAATTGTTTACCATTTCTGGGAACCGAATAAAAATAACTCTTTTAATATATTTGCAATGACTAAGATTAAATTGCAGTTAATTACCAAAATTCAGTTTCTATGCGAACCAAAAACTCATAACAAACAATTGTTGATTCATCCGTTGAGAAATCCAAGTTCGAATTTCGAAATGAAAATACGCCGAGCAAACTTCCCCTTAAATTTGCTAGACTCAGCTAGACCAAGTAAACCCCTGGAGTTCGAAGTGAATTCGAAACCGCCCTTCGAACAAAAAATCCAAGGAGCTTACGTTTTGCTTAACGTAGCACTCTTACGTAAAATGATTTTCCCCAATTGCGCTCTCATTTCCCGAGTCTCTCTCCGCTTCCCAGCCACTTTCCCACCCCCTTTCCAGGCCGAAGTAAAGGTAACAAAGGCAGCCGTGTCTTTGGGGTGGTAAACTGGCGGTGGCGGTGGTGGTGGCACATTGTCGGTGGTGTGGGTCCCTGTGGTTGGTGGTTCAATTGGTTGGTTGTTGGCATAAACAAAGCACACACACAATACACACACACTGCCGGGGGGGGTGGTGCACGCTGGGAGGGTGACATTTACCGCGAGAGAGAGACGCGCTTCCTGTAGGAAAGTACAAAGAGAGCTATTTTATAAATGTGACTGCAGCAAGGATATTTACAGTCAGTCCACTCTGAAACCTCGAACCGAGAACATTGAATAACAAGCGGAAGCGAAAAGCGAAAAGCGCACAGCCTGAAAGTTCGTCAAAAGCGACCAGTTTCCTAGTTCGTTTTCCCGCCAAATGAGTCAGAAAAATTTTCCAAGTGCTTGATGCGAGATATGAAGACTTAAAAGACTTAAAGTGCAAGCAGTGCATAAAATATATTATTCCCGAGGAATACTGACATCGAACATTAAAAATATATACTGCAGCAAAGTTATATATTTTTGAATAATTCATTCAACATTTTGTAAAGCCATATTTTGTATTAAATCAAATACCGCCATGGCCATCGCCTATTTCATACCCGACCAGGCCCAATTGTTGGCCAGAAGCTATCAGCAAAGCGGCCACCAGGCAGCAGCGAGTCCAAGGACAACTGCAGCACCTGCTGCACCCTTGCAGCAGCAGCAACAAGCGCAACAGCAACAATCGCAACAGCAGCAGCAGCCACATCCACAACAACAGCGCCCCCAATTCCGTGCCAACATTTCCGTGCCGCTGGGAAGTCAACAGGGATCGATGACAATGTCGGAGTTCGGATGCTGGGACCTTCTGGCCCAGATCTTCTGCTACGCCCTGAGAATCTACAGCTACAGTTCGAGCCAGCGAAGACCGATGGTGATTCAAATATCCTTCGAAATCAGCAGCGGCGGTCAGAACAACGAGGAGGACGATGTGACCGATGCCACCTCCAAGGAGAACTAGATTTGGTTTCCATTTTTCAACCTGGTGGAGAGGAAATCTTTGGGATTTTCTGGGAAAGGCAGGCTCAATCAAAGCGCATTGTGATTTCTTTTTTGGGTATGGACACATGAGGAGGCAGGAGTTTTGTAAAAAATGGGATATTTCCACAACAAAAGAAGAAAACTATTTTTAAACTATTTTTGAGAGAGAAAATTCAAAATTTGTCATCGATTTGCTTAAAGTGATATTGATTGTTTGTTACTTTTTTGAATGTCAAAGTTTCGCTTTTCAGTTATGAGAAAAATGTTTAATTTTGCAAGCAAAGGTTTCCCGGTTGGTTCAAATACCTTAATAATTAACAACATTTTGAGAGCTGGAAATGAAATGTGTAAATGGTCATAAACCCTATTAGTGTCTATACATATGAGCAAAACCACAAGTATCGTACTCAACTAACAACTAATTGTCAAATTTTTGCATTTCAACTACTTACAAATATAAATCCTAAACTAATATTACAGAACTACAATACAGAACCAACAAGCAAACAAAGATGCAGCCGCAGCAACAATTACAACAAAAGACAACAACTCAATTGTACAAAATAGATTTTAAGCAAACAGCAAATTTTATATGTTTACAAGAAAGAAAATACAAAATGTCTACAAAAAATAGAATACAAGAACCGCCGATCAGCAAGAAATACATTTTAACGAAAATGAAACAAAACAACACATTTAAGCAATTTTGATACGAATAATCAAGAATAACAAAAATCGAAATGTATCTTATCATTATTACTGATTTTAGCAAAATTCAAAACATATTATTTTAATTTTTGGCATTGCAAATTAAACAAGAAATATTTAAATTAATCAAATGTGAAGATTTAGCATTTGTAAGAAATTAAAATTTTTATAAGACAAACAAGCAAAAAATAAACACAATTTTATAAAACAAAAACTTGTATGATTATTGTACCTTTTCAGAATACCACATTAAAATTCTCTAGTTGAAAGGAAACTATTTTTCGATGGAATATATTTATTTAATATCCTTTATTTTGGAAGTGTGGAAGTTTGAGAGAAATATACTCAGTTCGACAAAAATTTCGAAGGCTTAAAAAATATTTTGAAATGGTTTGTCTATATTACTGAAACTTGTAGGTTGAAAATAAACAAAATTTGATCGAACTTTGAATTGAAAGAAAAATCATTTGGTTTAGAGTTCACCTAACATTTAAACAATTTGAACATGATTTATTAATACCTCAAAGCAAATATTAAATATTTTTGTATAATTCCTATTGAAATGGCAAAGGACAACCGTTCAGCCGGGAAAAGGCAGAGAAAGCAAACATTTAGCGATCGCTATCGTGAAAACCAATATGTCACCTCAAAAGGGAAAATCCATTGTTGGTTAAGGGCAGACAGACGGAGAATTTTCCCGTTGTGTCATGCCAGGCACACTCCGCCCAAAAGGGTTAAAAAGCAAAGGTGACGCCGCTTAACCGCAGATCTCAGTTTGCGCCGCCAATGTCCAAGTCATCGGGCTCGGGGTCAAAGGGAAAGAGCGGAAAAGGGCAAATGGAAAGGGGAAAAGGGGAAAAGGGGGTGTACCCTTTAGCGAACCCGGAAACCCATTTAACCCCAGAAGTGGAAAAAGTGTAACATCTGTGGCAGCAAGCGATCAGCGGCGCCTGATAAGTTCGCCAGTCAAATAATAATTATGCAAACATTTCGGGCCGCTAATTTGCCGCCTATCTTAATTTAAATCGCTCTAAAGCGCACTGGAACCAGCGCACAAGAAATTGTTTAATTGTCGTGACATGACAATAAGCGACCTGGAAATTAGGGTCCTTCGCTAACCTTTTTTTTTCGCGTGTGGCTTGATTTTTGGCGCTGATAAGCGAGGGGGAAATTATAGGGTATGCAAATGCTCGCATAGAGTCGGTCGCGTGTCCTGGATCAAGTTTTCAACTCGAATTCCTTCTTAGCGCCTGCAATTATGCTCGGCGCGCAGGCAGTTTATGATAACATATTTGTAGTTAATTTAGTTAAATAGTGCCACATATGCTAAACTGATCTGAGATAGCCAGGTGGAAACTGCAAATGGGAGAAAATTGCAGCAAGTCACAGGTTGTTGACAAACTGCTTCAGAATGGTCGAAACCTTGGACAATAGAACTAAAAACTTGTATAAAAAATATACAAAATTATAAAATATGTGTAGTTTATTTAAATGTACAGCTCCAATTGCAGTTTTTCCTTTAAATATGCAACATTTTAGAATATACAAAAGATATCGTTCTTTTTCATTTAAGCTTAGTGCAAACAATCAGTTTGCTGTTGTTCTACAAAACATAATCAAAGTAGTCAACGAAATAAGTCTTAAGAAACTTTAGGAAATTATTACTTTCCTAAAAGGAAGCAAAATTCCAAAGCATTTACTTAAGTATGAGCCAGATACCCCAGTGGTGTCACAAGACAGCAGAGCTCGACTAAGATATCCATCTAATGATCATTATGAACACTTCGGAAAAGAATGACAATGATAACGATTCCTTGGACGACGCGCAGGATCAGGAAGTCCGCCAAACACTAAATTCGATCGAAAGCGTGGACGATGTCTGCAAAACCTACAAGTCAAAAAGTGTCCAAGAATTAAGCGCTCAAAAGACAAGTGAGCTTCCCAAGTCCGACCAGGAAAAGGTTCACACGTCATCTTCAAAAAACAATTCCTCACAAAAGCCGGAAAAACCCACTTCTGAGGCAGATCCAGACAGCGAATACACACGCTTTCTGAAGCAGATGAGCGTTCGTTAGTAAGTTTAGCTATTCAACAATTGCACGAGTACCAAATATTTTGTTATATGCATCCTAGCTCAGAGTTCCGCATTGCCTCGGGTCAAGTAGTGCAGCAAAGAGGTCAGACAATGGACTTACGGGACTACAACTATAGCGAGTGTAAGTATTACGAATTTTAGTTTTTAAAATAGTTGGGAAAATTCTATTTCTTCGGTATTCATTTTACTGATCTTTCGATTTGATATTTATACTATAGATCCAGTGTGCCACCCCTCCTGTAGCTGGCAATCCTCTGACCCAATGCCGCAGGACTCGATATCCAGAGGTATTTCTGGTCAAAGAGAGATGGAATCTTCAGCTTGTTCGCCGGCGCAGATGTCCCAGAACTTTAACCAATACGGCTATGGCCAATCTCTGCCGGAAGCCGGCTCAAGATCGGATGAGACAATTGTGAATGATCCCAGTACTTCCAGTTCAGCTGCCTATGAGGGTCCTTGCTGCTCCAATGAGGCCTGTGGCCGTTGCTGCCATATGGAAACTGGCCAGCAATCTGGATGCCCCCAATGTTATCAGGCTAATCCTGGCCAGCAGGAGCAGATTATTCCTGTGCCAATGGGTGTAGATCCAAGTACTGGCTTTCCCATCTACTGCTACTCGACTCCACTAAATTATCCAGGCAATGCCATGTACTCCATGCCAGTGATGCCAATGGATGAAAGTCAAAGGGGAGGCGCTGGCCAGAACAATCGGCAAACTGGGCGGAAATCTCAAACTTTTTCCGAAGCTTCAGCGGAAAATTGTCACTCAAACGTGGATAGTGCTTCATTCAATCAGAGTTCCAGCAACTTGGACACGGAGGCCTTTATGCAAAAGTACCAGAGGAGTGTTCAGCAGTGCTACGCCACTGCACAACAAGGTGAGCATGATATATAGCTATATCTATAATCTATAATATGGATAGTAATATGCCGAGTTTTAGGAATTCAACAATCATTTGCTGATGCTCAAACTCAGCCGTGTTTCAATAACTTCGGGCAGGCAACTCAACAGTTTGGCAGCAATGGTACTCAGGGTAAAAATGAATCATGAATCTCGGGCCAATTGACCAATTTTAATTATTTAAATAGGTGCGCATGCAATGTTTGCCAGCTCCAATCAGGGTATGTTTAATTATGAAGTATTTTATGAAGTATCCTATAATTTCCGAAACCCCACCTCATCCAGATTATCAAGGCATGCAACAGGCTTTCAGTGCTTCTTTCGGTGCTCAACAATATTATAACCATGATTATCTAGGTACTTACTTAGCATACCAACGTTTCAAACACCTACTGATACCCCTTCAGGTGCTCAACCATTCCTTTCACCAACGATGGCCATGCCAACTTCTAACTGGTTTGCCGGCAACACCGGATACATGAACGACTCTCTGCAGACCCAAACAGTATACTCCGCAGACTACAAACCATTTTCGAGCCATGGCAACCACTTTAACCACTTCCCCAATGGCATGGACATGGGTTTGGCCCCCGAACCCTGTAACATCTACGGTCCAGCTGGATCCCCTGGCCTGGTTGAGATGGGCAACGGCGGTCAAGTCTATGGCATGGGTGGTGCCTGTGGAATGAATATGAACGCATATCCTCTCACTCAAATGAGGTAGGGTATATCCCAACTACTGAATAATGTTGCACAAATATTTGAATTCATCTTCGACAGCTATTCAAGTCCCTATTCGTACGATATGACTGGTGCCACACCGAACTACATTCCCGCACCAGGCATCCCTATGGCTGCGCCTCAAATGCAAACTGGTCATGTGGGCAGTGGAAATCCAGGTTGGTAACAGATAATGGTAATGCACTTGTAATATTCCCGATCAACAGTGCATCAGGGCTGAATAGGAACGAAATCCGTACGTGAGCTGGAAATGCTACAAAAATTGTTGATTATACTCTTAAACTCCTAACAATAAAACCACCAAAAATGCAGTGCAGCTTTCTTTTGAATTTTTAATCTTAGATGGCAAGCAAAGTACTTAACATATGACACATCAAGATGAAAACTTCGTCCAGCACTCCTCGAGCCATTTACCCCCTGGTAATGACTCACAGTAGGCAAAGTTCCACCTTCCCAGATCCTGAACCTCGCATGGCATGCACTTTAAGTCAAAGCTAATTACAGTGAGCTGCTCTATTGATTTTAGCAGTAAGGTACACTAACCCGCGAGGAACCCTCGCATTGGTCAAACAGACGGGCGACATCGGTGACCCACTTTTCGTGCAAAAACCAAGTCGGAAAAGTGGCAGGCGGAAAAGGGCCGGGCAAACAACGCCCCCAAATGCGAAAGGCCTGTATGTGGAGCGAAAGTGAAACGCAATATGGCCACAAACGACCACATTCGTTTGAGGGGATAGGAGTCACTTCGTTTGTCCAGGAAAAGCGGCAAATCAAATATCAAAGTGCCGACAATGAAAGCTCTGGTTAATTGTTTGATGTTAAAGAGCGCGGCCAAGCGAAGTTAGGTAAAGACTTCTTGAGATTCTCGGATTGACATTTACTGCCGCCGACTATTCATTAATCTCATGATTCATAGACCCAACTGTTGGGGATTCTAAGCTATTCCCGCCGAAAAAACGTGTGTCAACACCCACAAAACCACAGGAGGTTGTCTAGGGTCCGCAAACAACGCGCATAAGAATGATTTATTCCTGCGAGGCAACACCTTAAAATTTTAGAAAAGAGAAGTCATGAGTTCGTAACTCCTTCGGTCCCTGAATATGATTAATTGCACCAAATGAAATTTGTTTCTGACCATCTCTCGAACACAATTGCGCTTCATTATCGGCGTTTTGGCCAGTGACCATCAGCGGCAGTCAATTACCGGTCGACAGTCTCGTTTCTACTTCTTCAATCTGCTTCACTTATGTGCACAGAGAAAAAAGATGTGAGCAAACTAATATCATGCTCAGTTCTTGAAGTGGATTGCTTACTTGGAATCTACAAGTTGCGTATCCTTTTAAATACAGCTGTTCCAATGATATGTAAACGATTCTTTTATAATCTTTTGTAAAATATAAATTATAATACTTTTGACTTGAAATGGAAAATTGTTATTTTTTCCAGTGCATTCGTATTTACTGCCTGGGTGTTGTTGTCAATGTCCTGCTGCGCTATTATTTGTCTTGTGTGAGAGACTCCGACTCGGTATAAATTGGTTTACGCCACTTTTGGGTCATTAACGAAATTGAAAATAGAGACGGACATGGGCGGAGTACTTGCGGGGAGGGGCTGTGGAGGAAATGGAAAACGGAGACCACCGGGCTCCCATTAAATCAGTGCCACCTATTTTGGTAGTATGCCAATCATTAGACACCAACGGCGCTCAAACTGTAGGGGTCTAGGCGATATTTAAGCGTCTCCTTGGGAGTTTTGGAGCAGGCGGTGGGTTTATCTTCAATTTATCGGCTAAGCGATCGTAATTGATAAGGCTTGTGTGTAGCTAATTAAAATGCCACGTCTGTGAAGGATAACTGAGTATTTGATTTGATGAAAAGCAACTTATTTATGTCCTTGTGGTATAATCACTCTAGAAATTGTTCAGCTGTCATTCTAACCTAATTATTTAATGTAGTAATAAGTAAATAACAGCACTGCAAAACTTCCGAAATCCCTCTAACCCTTTTCCAAGCCAACATCTCAATCCGAATCGGTTGCCAGATAAAATTATCTCGGCCACGAGAGCGACTCACTTCCAGCCCGGGGATAAACTCATATAATTTAATCAAGGGCACGATTCCACTTCAAGTAGGTAGCTACCAACTGTCCAGACAAGACAATAAAAAGGCGCAAAGGGATCACGTCGCAGAGAGGAGAAATCAAAGCGTAGCAAATTCGCCGCCAGGACTTTCACCCGGGAAAAAGAAAGGAGAGCAGAGGACACGGATTAGGCAGCAGGCAGCACGTGACTTCTGAGGCCGAGTCCTTTTGTTTGGAATCGAAAGCCGATTATGCCCAGGGTAGCACATACATAGGCATTTCACTTCATTATTATGAGTTATGATGGAACGCAGGCTGGTCAAGCTGGTCCTGGCACAATTATGTCACCCCGGGCAAAAGGCATTATTAGTAGTGCCCTGCCATGCAAATCGATTTGCCGTCTATCCGTCGATATTTCTTTTGACATCTGAAGGGTGTGACCAATTTGCATCGCCGAACAGGACACGCGTCGCAATCAGATCAAACGAGGGGATACTAGATAGGCCCTATTCTATGCAAATGTGCGGAATCAATAAATGAGCTTGGACATAGGTCAATCGCTTCCACTTTGTCAAACGTCCCATTGAAGTCGAGTGCCTGCTTAGCCTGGGAACATTCATGGGAAATCCAATGCGATTTTTCATGCTTTTCACAGCCTTGATTGGGAATGGCAGTCCCAGTGTGCCCGCTAATTGAATTGTTCATCAGACCCCAAGTAAATCACATAAAATCCAATACTGTACTAGGAATCAGACTAAGTCTTAATAGATGTGTTTTATATCATCTTAAATTTTGTCTTTGTGAGTGATATATCACTTCCTTGAGATTATTTTTATTCATTTAGATTCATTCTAGATTACGCCACTTGAATTCCGCGATCCAGATGTCAATGCTATAATACCCCTTTCCCACGGCTATCAGCTGGCGAAACTCTTAACGCGCTTCCACTACATAAACTCGAAGCATTGGCAATGGATACTGAACCCTTTGCTAAGTGGCAAACATCAGGGGAAAGTCGCTGGGCGTTGCGAATGACGACAAATTACACACACCAACTGCTGGGCCCGTGTCTTCGGTCGGGTATTTACGGGAAATTTGCAAACAATATTGATTTCGGAGCGATCAAAATAAAAATTAATCAATGCACTTAAAAATTTCGAGAAACACACATAAAGCAGCAAACTCAATGACGCGGAAAAGGTAAAGGGTGTGGTGCTGGAGGGAACCCCTTTTTTGAACAACCCTCGGCTGACTTTAAAGTGCTCGAAAGGAACTTAACTAATTTATAACTTATGACTGCACGGCAATGGACAATTTTCCATGCCACTACAAAGCAGAGCAAAAGCCAAAATTTGACATGAGTAGCGGTCGCTTAACCGAAACCATGTGTAAACCCTTTTTTCTTGTTTTTTTTTTTTTAAATTTAAAGTAAGCCCTTCAGTCGGGACATGTGAGTGTGCACATGTCAGCAAGCGAATTAATCGAAGAGAAATGATTTATTTAGCGCTCGGACAGACGGAACGCTTCGATGAGCCTGGGAAAGGGTTAGTAGCCAATGCAACCCTCGTGCAATTCCGATTCGCACCCAAATCAAATTTAAACTGTTTTCAAAACTGCACCTCTTGGCTCATTGATGGGCATTTATCGGTCCGGAGGGTTGGTCCGCACTTTGGGCTTGTTTGCTGCGTTTTCTCGCTGTGAGAACTGCAATTTTTCCCCGTAAATTCACACTGCATTTTTATTAAAACTCCTTTGGGCGATTTTTTTTACTGTTGTGAGTTTCTTCCTTCAAAATATTTACGACCTCTGATTTGTGATGGCATTTCTTGGCTGTTTGACTGATTCGAGTGGGGATGCATTCAATTTGCTGAACATTTACAATTAATAAAATAAGTGCAGTTAAATCATAGAACGAATTTTTGGAGAATGGGTGGGAATTTCTTAAACAAGACAGATTTCTTTTGTTTTATTTATTGCGCTATCAGAGCTCGGAATTTCGTATTTTCAGGCAGCTGAAACTATACATTTGTATAAAAATGGTATGGATGGATGGAATTCTTGTTTTAAGCTTTATTAAATTTACCCTTCTAAAAATTTGAGTGCAGAAACTTTTCTTGAAGCAGTAACAGGTATTAATTTAGTAAATACTCTGCTATTCTATATAGTTTGGTACGCCAATCGAAAAGAAATTGAATTGACGCCAAAAACTACAAAATACAAGCTGTCTTTGATAAGTTTCTCAAAAGTAGTCAAAATTAGGCTGTGAAAATGTCGAACGCTAAGCTGGACAGTAAGGTCGTGCAGAACCTGAAGGACATTGCCCAGAAGCTGCGGATCCACTCGATCACCTCGACGCAGGCGGCCAAGTCGGGTCACCCGACGTCCTGTGCCTCATTGGCCGAGATAATAACGGTGCTGTTCTTCCAGCAGATGCGCCTGAATATGAAGCATCCTCGCGATCCCTCCAGCGATCGATTGGTGCTATCCAAAGGACACGCTGCGCCCATCCTGTACGCCGCCTGGGCGGAGGCAGGACTCTTTCCGGTGGAGGAGCTGCGGAATCTGCGCAAGGTGGACAGCGATCTTGAGGGCCATCCCACTCCGCGGCTGAGTTTCATCGATGTGAGCACTGGATCCCTGGGACAGGGCATCTCCGTGGCCGCCGGCATGGCCTATGTGGGCAAATACCTGGACAAGGCCGACTATCGCACCTATGTGATTGTGGGCGATGGCGAGGCCAGCGAAGGAGCCGTCTGGGAATCGCTCCACTTTGCCGGCCACTACTGCCTGGACAACCTGTGCGTCATTTTCGACATGAACAAGTTCTTCTGCTCAGACATTGGCACTGAACTGGAGGTCTACCGGGAGCGGTTGGACGCCTTCGGCTTCAATGCCCTAGTCCTGAATGGCCACGATATTGACGAGCTGGTCAAGGCCTTCTTCAATGCGGCCAGCACCAAGGGCAAGCCCACGGCTCTGCTGGCCAAGACGGTTAAGGGAAAGGACTTTCTGGCCATCGAGGGAGTCGACGAAATGCATGCCCAGCCATTGGGCAAGCGGGCCGAGGCTGCGATCAAGCACTTGCAGGTGGGATGGCAACACAGCTCACGGGTTACCCTGTAATGATATCACATTTTTCCTTAGATGAAAATCGCCAATCCGAATGTGCGCCTGTCGCCCAAAAAGCTGGGCAAGTGCGGCCACGCCCCCGAGGTGCATATCAACAACATACGGCTGTGCAGTCCGCCCAATTATCGGCTGGGAGATGCGGTGGCTCCACGTTTAGCCTACGGAACCGCACTGGCCAAGATCGCGGCCGACAACTCCCGGGTCATAGCCCTCGATGGCGACACAAAGAACTCCACGTACGCGGACAAGATGCGGAATGCGTTTCCGGAGCGCTTCATCGAGTGCTTCACGGCGCAGCAGAATCTGGTGGGCGTGGCCGTGGGAGCAACCTGTCGCCGACGCACTGTGGCCTTCGTCTCCACGTATGCCACCTTCTTCACCCGGGCATTCGATCAGATCCGCATGGGCGCCATTTCGCACACGAATGTGAACTTCGCGGGCTCCCACTGCGGCTGCAGCATTGGTGAGGATGGTCCATCCCAGATGGGACTGGAGGACATAGCCATGTTCAGGAGCATTCCCGGTAGCACGGTCTTCTATCCCACGGATGCGGTTAGCACGGAGAGGGCGGTGGAACTAGCTGCTAATACGAAGGGCGTGTGCTTCATCCGCACCACGTATCCGAACACCACGGTGATCTACAACAATGACGAGGTGTTTGCCGTGGGAATGGGCAAGGTGGTGCGCCAGAAGCCCTCGGATGAGGTGCTCCTGATTGGAGCCGGTGTCACACTGTACGAGTGCCTAGCCGCAGCGGAGAGATTGGAGGAGGACTGCATCACGGCGCGCGTGCTGGACCCCTTCACAGTGAAGCCCCTCGATGTGCAACTAATCTTGAAGCACGGAAAACTGTGCCATGGGAGGATCGTGGTGGCCGAGGATCACTACCAGCAAGGCGGACTGGGCGAGGCGGTGCTCAGTGCCTTGGCCGACTATCGCAACTTTGTGGTCAAGCATCTCTATGTGACCAATGTACCGAGATCAGGTCCTCCCGCCGTTCTGCTGGACATGTTTGGTGTCTCTTCCAGGAACATCTACAAAGCTAGCGTGGCCATCATGAAGAAGTGAGCAGTTTGTGATGACCTAAGGTCAAGCATATACAAATTTAGAGGTGGCACTTTCCAAATTCAAGCTCTATCTGTATCGCGAATGTTTCAATAACTCCCCCATTTTGCAAATTAAAAATGTGATGCTGTTTTATATTCAGCTTGTCGTGCAACCACTCCTTAATCAACTATTCCTTTATAAAGTCAAAACTCAACCCTTTTAAGTGTGACCTGACCCGTTTCCATTGATATTTTCCCTTTAGCTGAGGTATTATATTTTGCTCTACCTGAACTAATGCACTACATGCTACTGAAGTTCGAAGCAAAATAGCATTTGCCAAAAATCAATTGGGCGGCACTAATTTAAGGGACTCTACAGTGAGGATCGTTTCCTGCGTTGGCGGTGTTTTTCGATTTTAAAGTTGACATATTTATTTGCAGTGACCTTTTCGCAGAGGCGCATCCAATCGATATCCCCCTCTTTACTTTGTTGATTCATTTATAGATGCGGTGTTAGCTGTGTTTCGGGGTTTTAAAAATATCACGCTATTTGAAGAAGGAAATCACACTTTTTAAGAAATAAAAGATTTCGGAAAATAATATATAAAAGTATTGCAGCAAACTCAGTTTAGTATATGCTCCACTAGATGAATAAATTGTTAGTTTATCAGCAATTTTTTTTCTATACATATAAGTCACACATATATTGCAATAGAACGGATATAAAAGAAATGTAATAATATAAACCTACCAAAAATTACAAATTAAAAAAATAAGGGTATCTTGTTGTCGAAACACTCCAGTCCTCGTTGGCTATTTCGCCTGACCAAGGGCCACTTTAAATTATCCCTAATGACATCCGTTGCCGTCTAATGTGGCATTCATCCATTTGTTCATTTGCCTCTGAGGCAGCAGAGGTCCATTTATTGTTTTCGCTGCCTAATCAGTACTCCATATTGTTTGATGGTTTGGCTCAGAAGGACAACAGGATGTGCCTCTGTGTGTGGTTAAGGGTTGGCCAAGTGGACAAAGTATCCCTTCCGATTCGATCAAAATTTACGATAAATGCTTTAAAAATTCTATACACCTCAAACACACAATGGAGGCATAGATAGCGTAGAGGTTTTTCAATTTTTGTTAAGTGAGCATGGCTAACTAGATTGGTTAAAGATCATAAATTCAACAAAATGAAAATAGATTAGATGACATCATATGTGGAGAGCCCTTTGTTCCATGCACACATGTGAAGGAGTTGGATGTGTGATTTTGGGGTAGATTTATGAGGGAACGACTGCACCTGCTTGAAATGTCCCACTCCCACACAAACATATATCATTTAATGAGGAAAATCTGTGCCGCAAAATTTGTAAGCAATTATCCGCGGTGAAAAAAGAGCCCAAAAACAATCATCAATCTCTGTCTGCAACTGTTAAAAGCACATGCATTTAAATTAGACATTTAAGCCAACCGCCCCGCCAGAAAACACAATCCCCAATATTCAAATAGAACGATGTCAGTATCAAATGCGTGGTATCAACAGTAAACTACCCTTTACAAAACATTGCACCATTTAGAGAAAAATAAATTAAGTTTGCAGGAAATGCTGTCAAAATAGCGAAGAAGGGCAAAAGTTAACATATCTTAATAGGTATTTTAGCACTATTATTGAAGTACGTTGTTGGACGATAAAAACGCATATACCCAACCAAGCTGCAAAGTATGAGGTATACGAAGAGAAGTGTCAAAAGCAAACACCGAACAGGAGTTTCGCCCGGAAACGCTTAATAGGATTTTTACAATTTTTACTATTTTCCTGTGGCAGCTACTGGTTACCAGCCAGTCCCCCTTTCACTTTACTCTCTTCTGCTTTCTCCTCTGTCTTTTTTTTTTTAATTTTCCAAATATTTTGCCTTTCACCGGGCAGAAAAAGGGGTTAGAAAAATGCCAAAAGTGCGCACCCCTGTGTCGCAATGGAAATTCTTTTACACTTTTGTTTTTATTTTTCCTTGGCTGCTGTTACTCACAGGATATGGTTATTCTTGTTCCTGTTGTTAGGGTTTCATGCACCGCATAACATTAAAATTCAGATTTTGATTGATCATTCTGGTTGAAGCGAATTAGAGGGTATGAGTTCGGGGCAGTAGACGAATTGAGTGAAAGGACATAATACAAAGGATGTGAGGGAAGAATGTTAAAGCCTTGTCTAACAATATTGTGAATTGGGTGTTTTAATGTTTTAAGTGGGGGTATTGTTGCCTAGGCATAAAGCATAGGTAAATGCAAAGCAGTTGGGAAATAAAATATACATCATTATAATTATTGTGCAAAAATATGTATTCCGTTTTTGACACATAACTAGAGTTTATTTAAGATCAAATAAAATTGTTTCCCGAAGTTGATATAATATATACAAAACTTATACGACTTTCACTTTTATTTCATTTAAATAAAAAAGAGGTTGCTAAATGAGCTGAACTGGATTTGCATAAACCTACGGATGCATTCCATGAATATGTAATTCAGCCATAAAATATTTATACATCCACCGATTCCTTAGAAGACACATTTAGAGGGCGTCACGCTAACAAAACTTTCCCAGGCAATTTACAAACCTATGCCAAGTCCTTCCTATATTTTGACTTTCACACAACTGTCGGTGAAATCCTGCAAACCACTTACGTATGCAAAAGAACGGTGGCTACGAAAATTCGATTAACAACAAATGCATATTGATGGAATAACTGAGCAATTCTAATGAGCCACAACAGCGACAGGCAGCATAAAAAAGCCAAACAAATTGCAATTGCCAATGGATGGAAGTTTTTCCAAGGAACCACAATATTTGCATTTGATTGACAACAAAGTTAATTGAGTGTGAGCCGAGCATTTGCATAGAGTCGACCAAAAACAAACATTTATTATATTTAACTATGATTTTTTAAGCGTTGCTGCCTGGGTAACCCTTTGGGTGCGTTTAGGGGGTAGAACCATTAATTCCTATGACAAGGCTGAGGTGAGGTGACTGATGATGGGGTGTTGAGTCGAGTCGAGACAAGGTGAGAGATCTCCCAGGCCTAAATGTCATTTCGATGAATTTATAATTGGAAATTACGTGAATTTTTCTATTCGGGATTTACATTTTTATTCTCGTTTGCCTGCAAATTAGCATATTTTTTCGCTCTCTCTGGCAGATCCTTTGTGTGTGTATGTGATTTAATTAATGATCTTATGCAAAGTGCTCCTCCGTTTCTGTTGTATTGGCCATGCATGTGTTGGCAGCTAACTGCCGATCATTAATCAGGTCGCCTAAGTAGCTGCTTGAACTCATTAACCCTTTTGTTCGCCCAGACAGCCCAGCGAAATGGCAACAAAAGTTTTGTCTTATATAAATATTTGCATTGCCGCCAACCATGAGAACGGAGTTTCCTTGCAGCGCAATAAGTGAATACAAAAAGGATGCGGAAGTACAGATATCCTTATTAATGATCTTGCGGATGTCACGGCAGCGAAAAGCCTTTTTCCGCACTTTTAATTATTGCATTTCGATTGCTCGAATTCAACCCCGAAACCTAGAACACAGCTTTTTTTTCCCAAAACCCCAACACGCTGTGAAGTTTTGGCCATATATCAAATATTTCTTATTGGCCTCCTATCAAGATGCCCATTAAGTCAATAAGTGGGCTCTAATATTATGCCATATTTCGGCAATTGCCAAAAAGCAAGAAAATCAAAACGAAAAACAAAGTTTGCTCGAAAGTGCTGCCACGGCAGACGTGGAAAAAATGCCGGCGATAAACACGAATAAAACATTTGAGGTACATTATGTCAGGCCTAAGAATTATTGTCGCAGATTGTTTTCCCCAGATAAATCCTGAGTTATGGGGGCAAACGCAGCGGGTAATAAAAAACACTACTATCCATTATTGGGGTTGCAATTTCGAATTGTATGTAAAAGTTGGCAAGTCACGTAAAAAATGTCGCTCGTATGAGAGCATTCCAATTTTTTATTGACCAAAGATAAAACTCATTTTCGGTCTGGCGAAATATATATATTTATTGTTTACTTGTACCTTAAAAAAGCAAGCTTACGAACGCTGTGTTTCCTAAATATTCTCATATTTATTAAATAAATATTCTCAGTTTTTTTTGCTGTCATAACTTAATAATATCTCTTTAATTATTCATAATTATTACGAAGATATAGGCATGTTTCTTGTTAGAAGAAAAACAATGAATAATGCGGGTAACTAAACAGTTCGGTTCAGTCTAACCCCATCAAGCCGCAAATTAGACTCAGAGCGCAAAGTCATGCGAAAAGCAGAAAAAATAACGAATTGAGGGGATAAATCAAATAATTAATTGTTTCGTAATTCGGTTGTGTGTCCAAACATCATTAATATCTATAAGATTTGACGAGGCCCAGAGCTACCGCAAAGATCTTGTTGGCAATAACCCACCACTTTGACTTCTGGAACCCGCATTAAACCTTCGGGGCTTCGGCTTAGCAGCCAATTTCAATTAAACGCGCGGATTAAAACACTGGAACCCGGTTCACGGCTACTTTCGCACTTTGTCGTCTCTCCGACAAATTGGGATCAAATGTATATATAGTCACATAATGGCATGCATGAATCATTAATAAAAATCATAATAAAGGCGTGGCGAATGACGTCACGTTTTTGTGATTAGCCTCGTGGAGAAACCAAAGGATTGTTGTGGGTTGGCTGGGTGAAAATGTTCTTAATTAGTTTTTCCTCATTTCTTCCCATCTAATGCATTTTAATCATCTGACAGTCGGACGTCTTACGCTCGAATGAGTTTTTGGCCTGAAGCAAAACCGAAGGAAGTGTGGCAAATTTGATTAATGGCTGAGAAGTTAGCTAGTACGTGTGGGATAAAAACAATTTGTCAATAAGAAAGGTCAAATAAAAACGTATTTTATTCTTGCTCGGAAAATATAAGAGTCAGTAATATGTTGATTAAATAATAGGACCTAAATCTATTTTCCAAGACTTCGAAAATTTAGACGTTTTTCTCTGAAAATGAATGTACGTCCTATTAATCTCAAGAAAAACAAGTCTATAAATTTATAAAGACTGCCATACAATTTGCATAATTATGTCTGTTAAAAGAACATAATTTCAGTACTTTTCCGCCTTAAGAACAAGTTTCACAAATGGGTGCAAGTAACCAACAGGGTAAAAAAGTAA